CTGGAGGAGGTGGAAATCGAAGGGCCCTGCGGTTAGGCATGGAGCCTTTGGGTTAGGCTGGTGCAGCTGCCTGGTTGGCATGGTTTTGGGCAGTTGAGCACGAGCTGCCTGAGGACAGTGGAGTCGGGGGCAGGGCTGGGAGGCACAGGCAGGGGCTGAGGCTTCACTCGGGGGCGGGCCAGCCTCTGAGGGGCCAGGCCACCACGTTAATGGGAAGAGTGTGAAACGGGCGTCCCCCGCCCCACTGAACCCACTGTGAGGACTGGAAGACGCCACCCTGGTTCAACAGTGCCCCAAATTCACGTCCCCTCAGAACGCAAGAACTTGACCTTGTCTGGAAACAGGGTCTTTGCCGACGTCATTAGTTAAGACGAGGCACTTGTGGACCAGGGTGGGCCCTAAATCCAATGACCAGAGCGCTTACAAGAAGGTGAGAAGAGGCCGGGCGTGGAGGCTCACACTTTTAATCCTCGGACTTTGGGAGGAGGAGGCAGGAGGGTTGCTTGAGCCCAGGATTTGAGACCAACCTGGGCAACACAGACCCCATCTCTACAAAAATTACAAGACACACATTGAGGAGGGGAGAGGACAGACAGAGACGCCCGCGGGGAGGCCAAGGCAATGACAGCGGTAGCAGTTGGAGTGAGGCGCCAACAGCCCGGACATGCTCAGGAGCGTTGGCCACCACAGGGGAGGGAGACAGGCACGGAACGGATTCTCCCCGGAGCCCCCGGCAGGAGCGAGGCGATGCTGACGTCTTGGCTTTGGACCTGCGTCCTCTGGAACCCTGAGGAAACCCAGTGTGTGGCGGTTGGTTGTAGGGTTGTAGACACAAACACAGGTGTCCAGCCAGAGGGGCCCCCACTCCTGACAGCAGCCACTCCAGAGCCCTCCTGCATCTTTTTTTTTTTTTTTTTCCTGAAATGGAGTCTGGCTCTGCCACCCAGGCTGGAGTGCAATGGCACTATCTCAGCTCCTTGCAACCTCTGCCTCCCATGTTCAAGCGATTCTCTGCCTCAGCCTCCTGAGTAGCTGGGACTACAGGCGCCCGCCACCCTGCCCAGCTGATTTTTATGTTTTTAGTAGAGATGGTCTCGATCTCCTGACCTCAGGTGATCCACCCTCCTCGGCCTCCCAAAGTGCTGGGATTACAGGCGTGAGCCACTGCGCACAGCCAGATTTTTGTATTTTTCGGTATAGACAGAGTCTTACTATGTTGCTTAGGCTGGGCTCAAACTCCTGGGCTCAGTGGGTCCTCCCACTGTGGAGGAGCTGGGACTCCAGGCGTGAGCGCACCGCCGGCTCCCATGCTGCCCATCTGTCCCCAGTGGCCTTTGGCTGGTGGACGGTGGCTCCCCCCGAATGCTGTGTGTTTGCTTGACCCCGGGTGGGAAAAGCCACAGCCGGATGTGCTGAGGCGCCTGTGTCCCCGGGGCCCTGCTCTCCTTGGCGCGTCCACGTGGAGCTGGCGCTGGCCCTGCCCGGGAAGCGGCTCTCATCCTCCCCCTCCCCCAGGGACGTAAACCAACACCTCAGCCTTCGTTTATCTCAAAGCACACAGAGACATTTCACAGGAGGCCTAATGTCCCGCTAATGGTCGGCGGAGGCTGCGGCCCTCGTGTGCCTAATGGCGGGTGAGAGCCTCTTGAGAGCTGGCATATTGGAGCTATTGATTTTCTCCAGGAAGATCAAGATGGGGTGCGTGGGCACAGCAGGCATGCTGCACTCAGAAGGGCAGCGCCTTCCTCCCGGGCCTGAGGCCCCACAGCAAGGGGAGGGAGCTGTGGGCTGGGAGCTCCGTCGGGCCCGATGCTGCCCCCACCGAGAGGCACACTGGCCGCAGATGCTGGACGTTGATTGGGCCCAGCCCCACTGCCCGGCCTCCTGTGCTCCTCGGCCTGGCTCTGGCTGCCCGTCCTACCCCAGGCAGGAAACAGGCAGGCGGTGGTGTGGGACGTGTACTTCTCCACTGTCCCAGATGCCCCAGAGGCTGCCGCCCCACCCAGCCTCACCAGAAACCGCAGTCACCGGCACCTGCGGGCCCCCTGAGTCTCAGCACTCAGGGGTAGGGGATTAATTAGCTAGCTGCTAATTCATCCACCCCTCCCCCAGGGAGTCCCCATATCCCACCTTCGCCCCTCCGGCCACCCCTGCATTGCCCTTCGCTGCCCGCTTGGACCGGTGCAGTGGCACTGTCACCCCTGAGCCTCCGGCCAGCTCCCGGGGTGTCCGTGCCAGCCCCACAGTGCTCTGCCCCAGCGCTTCCTCCCAAATGCCTGTCTGCTCCGGTTTGTGCCCACTCTAGCATTTTCCATCCCAGACTGGGGTTTTCTCTGTGGTTTCTTGTCAGGCAGAGACGAGCATCCAGACGGCTCTGGGCAGGGTCACAGGCAGGCCCCCAGCGCCCAAGTCAGAGGACAGCGGGAAAACCCAGGGCCTCGGGGCAGGAGCAGCAGCAGGTCACCCCGCTGAGGCTTTCTCCCCAGGAGCGGGGGAAGCGCCAAGGTTCAGGCAGCCACGGCCCCCGCCCCGCCAGCATCCAGAGGCTCCCGCATCCCGGCTCCTGGTCACTGCCTCCAGCTCCAAAGCCAGCAGCGTGGCCTCTTCCATCCTCTCAGCCTCCTGCCTCCCTCCGACAAGGATCCGCCAGGTGATCTCCCGTCTCAAGGTCGTTCGCTTAGCCACACCCGTGGTCCCTCAGCTGTGTCGGTGCTGGGGGTTCGGGCGCGGACGTCTTGGGGCCATCACAGGGCCAGTGTTTCCAGGCTGTCCGCTCTGCGGGAACCCCGTCTGCTTCCCAAGGCTTGCCCGTCGAGCCCCCACACCCACCTCCTTCATGAGGGGCTGGGTCTCATTTCCCCACCCTGTGTACTGGACAGCAAGGCTGGTAACCCAGCGAGCTGGGGACCACCTGCGCCCGAAGCCTGGGCTCGCCATTTCCCACCGCCCGCGCCCTTCAGGGCAGAACACAGGGGCCCTTCTGCACTAAAGTTCCCTCGGGGTCCCTGCTGACGCCATCCCTGCTAAGACCAGCGAGGCGGAGGCTGCAGTGCCAGACCCCAGGCTGGACTGGCTCCCACCCTTCCCTCCGCAGACCCCGGCCATGCCACGGCATGCGGCAGAGGGCGCTGCAGTCACTGCCAGGAGCGGCAGAACCCCCACCCTCTGCAGGTCCGGCCCTGGGGTTCTGAGCAGACCAGGGCAGACGCACCCAGGGCCCCAGGCTGGAAGCTCCCCAGGTCGGTAGGGACAGGAGCTGTATCTGGTCAGAGATGGGAGTCTAGGGCCCTGAACCCCGGGCAGCCGCAGGTCCTCAGTGACGGCTGGATCAGAGGGGAGCTGGTGAGGCTGGCAAAGCATCCTCAGACCTTGGAGTCTCAGGGCAGCCCCCATGAAGCCAGGGACAGAGGCCCCTACATGGTTTGGACGCTCAGGGCTGAGTATGGCCAGATGCACCTCAGCTGGGGACGGGCTCACTGGGCTGTGGGGTCACCTGGGCTGTGAGCTCACCAGGGCGTGGGCTCGGTTTCTGCCTGTGAAGGAGCAGTAAGGAGAAGCCGTAACTGGCAGCTGTGTCCCTGTCCCCACTCCCAGCAGCCTCTCCTGGGACCTGCAGGTGACCCCACCTCTCACCATGAGAACCATGTAGAGGCCGCTGGCCTGCCCTCTGCAGGATCTCACTCTTAAGCTTGAACTTTTCGTTTCCTGTCCCTTCCCTCGAAGCCAGGGGTCCTGACTGCAGCCCCCGGACACTGACTGGTTGCACTGGCTGCCTGAGGCCCTCTGGGATCTCCTGCCTTCTAGGTGCCCGAGAAATCTGGGCAGGTCAGCCAGAGGTCCCCAGGTACAGCAAAGGGCTGGGCCCGTGTCCAAATCCCTGTGTATTGGATGCCACTAGGTGAGAGGGGCTGGTCTACCACCTGATTGGGGGATGCCTGGAGCGTAGGGGTGAGGACTAGGGTGGGGGGTGGCGTCCAGAACCGTCCTGGCCCCTGGAAGGTGAAGGCCAAGGAGCTGGGGGCTCGGGACAGGGAGTGTTGGGGCCAAGGCCAGGCTGGGGCTGCTGTCCCGTCCTCAGAGCCGGAGTCCCTGGGAAGGACACTGTGGAGTCCTCCCAACTTGGGCCACTGGGGGCTGCTCCGGGGAGCATGGTGCCAAGCAGGGGCACACCTGGCAAACGCCAAGGTCAGGGACAGTCACATGTGGGCGGTGCCTGTGCGGCCTGAGCCATGTCCCCACAATGCTATCCACCCTGAGTCTCCCAGTGGGACCTCATTTGGAAATGGGGGCCCTGCAGGTGTAACTGGTGAAGCTGAGGGCACAAAGGGTGGGCGTGGGCCCTAAATCCAGGAACGGGGTCCCCGTAGGAGGGCAGAGGTAGAGCCTGGGGAGACACAACCACGAGGCAAGGAGCCACTCCTGGGGACCCTGGACCCGACCTCCGGCCTCCCGCCCTGTGCTCCAGGCCGCCGGGGTTGTGGTCATGGCCGCAGCAGTCGCAGGAAGCTAACATGGCCCCACAGCGGACCAGCTGGGGCCACCCAGCAGGAGCCAGGGAGTCGGTGGGAACAGCAGAAGCCCTTGGGAACACTTCTGGGGGAGGCTTTCCTGGGAGCAGTAGGTGAGGGGAGGGTTCCCAGCCCCCCATTCCCACCCCAGGGGTGGCTGCAACTGAGGAAGGAGGGCCCCCGGGAAGAAGCCTGGGGAAGCAGGGGGTTCCTCCATTAACGATCAATTGCAAACACCTCTGAGCTCTGGGCAGGTGGACGGCGGCGGCGCAGAGGCGTCCCGGTAACCACCGGGCCAGTGGAGATGGTCACGGTTGTCCAGGAGGTCCCGATGGCCAGGGGAGCTGGGCAGGTGTCGGGCCCTGGCTGGGGGTCCCTGGGACCTCGCTCCCTTCCCCTCCCCCTTCCCCAGGGTCCTCCTGTGGCCGGGAGCACTGTTCACCCCGCGGGCTGCGAAGGCAGGATGCCCTCTAGAGAGGCCTACTCCAGAACTCAAAATAGCATGAAATTTAATTTTCCGCCTATTTGACAAGGCTGGGTCCGGGCCCCAGTCAGCAGCAGAGATAAGGGTCCCGGGGCCCGGGGGCGAGCCAGCTGCGCCCGCACAAACACTCCACGGTCCCCGGGCAGGCTGCGTGCAGGTGAGGCCGGGGGTGTGCTCCCCCCTCGGGGCCCTGGTTGCCGGGCGCTAAAGCAAACGGGCTCTATTTGCCCAGTCTGCGATGACAATGCTGTTGCCAAATATTTGCCAGCTCCTGGCGGCTGCAGAGCGCGGCTATAAATGCTCGTGTCCAGGTGGAGGGTGTGCCTGTGGATCGAGAGCTGTGGCCCCGGCCAGGTAGGAGCCAGGGCCTGGGGGAGGTGGGCGCTGCTGGGGACCACCACAGCACTGGGGACTTGGGGAGTCTGTGAGTCCTTCTGCCCAGGGCTCTGCGGGGACCACCCACCCCGGGAGAGTCCTGCTGGCCCAGGGCTGGGCCGGCATCCGGGCAGACGGCCATGGGAGGGCACCTGCGTCTGGGCTGTCCGTGAGCAGTCAGCCCCAAAGTCCAGCACTCAGGACACTGGACGTCTCCTGTGATGGGGACCCCAGCACTTGAGTGAGATCAGAACCACAGCTGGGCCGGCCAGGTCGGGGGGCCTCGCAGCTCGCCTTCTGGACAGCCAGCGGGAGACATCCTGACCCCGAGGAACGCCTGTCTCAGTGCGGTGGATGCTCCCCGCAGCCCTTCCCGCTCCCGCAGCCTCCCCCTACCTGCAGCCGACTCCCTCCCTCCGCCCTCTGGCCGCAGGCTCTGGACAAGATGGGTTCAGGCTACCTGGCCCCAGGGACACCCATGAGGAGGGGTTGGGTAGCCCTTGTCTGTGTGGTGGGCTCTACCTGGCGGCTAGCCCAGAAGAGAGCTGCACCCACCCCACAGTCCCCGCCCAGACACCCTCCTGCCAGGCCCCTGATCCAGATACCTCCCTTGAGTCATCCTGGCCAAGTGCAGTGGCCCCTGGAGCCCACCCCTCCAGGGACCTCCCACCCCTCCAGGGACCTCCCACCCCAGCCGCCTTCACCATCACAGAGGCACCCCAGTTAGGGCCACCGGGGTGCTGCCTCCCGCTCCCTTGGGACTGTGACGGCCCGGAAGAACCCCGCAGGGGCTGCGGCTCTGGGCTCAGTCACGGCTGACGCCTCCACTTTGATCAAGAGCCATGGTTCTGATTCAAAGCAGCCTGACCTGGGGCCCAGCTCTGGCTCAGCAGCCCCAGCCCCCTGCCCTGGCCTGCGGGGGTGCCTGCCCACCTACCTGTCTTCTCCAAGCCCCGTCCCCAGGGACTGCCCTCTCCCACCCAGCATCCTCCCCTCCCAAGTGACCACAATTCTAGTGTCCCTACAATGTCCCTGTGTCCCCAACTGCCCCCCATGACAGGACCCCACTGCTCCCACCCACTGACCATCCTGGGCCAGCCGTCCAGCAGGTCTCAGCCCCTGGCCAGCCATTCCCCTCATGCCACGGCCATGCGGCCTCAGTGCCCACCCTGTCTCTCTCCACGCCTCACTCTGGTGGCAATCCGTGCCCTCGGCAAGCACAACGGGGAGCCCAGGAGCTGAGGAACGTCTCTGGGGGAGGCCACAGATGGGTGGGATCCGAGTGCAGCAATCGAGGGTGGCGGGGGCATGGCCAGGCCTGACAGGGAACCTGCTCCTCTGCCTCCCTCCCTAGCCGGCACCTGCTGCCCCGGAGGCCCCAGAAGCGTGGGACGTGCGGAGATGGCCGCCGGTGTGATCCGGACCCTGTGCGACTTCCAGCTGCCCCTGCTGCGCCACCACCCCTTCCTGCCCTCAGATCCAGAGCCCCTGGAGACTTCGGAGGAGGAAGAGGAGGAGGAGGAGGAAGAGGAGGAGGGGGAGGGGGAGGAGGGGGAGGAGGGGGAGGAGGGCGAGGGGCTGGAGGGCTGCAGCCAGATCCTCCCGAACTCAGGCCGGGCAGAGGCCGCGGAGGAGGCAGCCCCTCAGGGTCCCAGCAGCCCCGAGATGCCGCTGCAGCTGCTACGCTTCTCAGAGCTCATCAGCGACGACATCCAGCGGTACTTTGGCCGCAAGGACAAGGCGCAGGACCCAGATGCCTGCGACGTGTACGCCGACAGCCGCCCAGCTGGCAGCACTGCCCGGGAGCTCTACCACGCGGACCTGGTGCGTCTGGCCCGAGGCGGGTCCCTGGAGGACGAGCACACCCCGGAGCCCGGGGTCTCCCAAGGGCAGGTGTGCAGGCCGGGCCTCAGCGGGGACAGGACGCAGCCCCTGGGACCCCTGGCCGAGCTCTTCGACTACGGGCTGCAGCAGTACTGGGGGTCCAGGGCGGCGGCCAGCTGGAGCCTGAGGCTGGAGCGGAAGTACGGCCACATCACCCCCATGGCCCAGAGGAAGCTGCCCCCGTCCTTCTGGAAGGAGCCGACCCCTAGCCCCCTGGGCCTGCTGCACCCTGGCACGCCCGACTTCAGCGACCTGCTGGCCAGCTGGTCAGCCGAGGCCTGTCCTGAGCTGCCCGGCAGGGGAACCCCAGCCCTGGAAGGGGCACAGCCAGCCGAGGCCTAGCGAGGCACTGGGGTCGGAGTCAGCTGGTGGCAGGGGCGGCCGCCCCTGAGGCACTGGACTCTCCTCCCATCCTCCTGGGAAGAGCCTCCTCCGTCCCTCCTTGGAGAGGCAGGAAGAGGGGCCCACTGCCCGACCGAGACAGCAGACAAGGGCTGTCTCCTCCACAGATGCTGGAAGGTTCTCCCACTGCAGGGTGCTGGGCTGGAGTGGCTCTGAGGCAGAGCCAGAGAGCCCCAGGCCAGGAAGCGTCCCCGGGTCCTCCTCACGACCCGGGCAGGGCGGCTCACTGGGGCTCCTGGCGGGGGCAGGGCTAGGTGCTTCTGGGCAGGCCCCAGCCCAGCCCCTTCCACCCCGGGGGGCTCTGGCAGCCCTAGGGGGCCTGGCAGGGAAGGAGAGGGGCTGCTGAAGTGCTAGGAAAAACAACAGCCTGAAGCCAGGCTGGGCTTGGGCAGGACAGGGAGAGTTGTGGGGCTCAAGAGACTGGCTCCCTCCAGCCTTGGGCACCCCCGCTGCCCAGGGCCTCGCCACCCCTCTCACCCCCCAGGCCCTGGGGAGGCTGTTCACTCGTACGCATCGGGGAACCTCAGCTCTAATGAGTACAAGGCTGGTTCGTTTATTTCTGGATAAAGAGCGAGGGTGTGAGCTGTTGCACCTGCTCCTGGCTGTGGGGCTTCTCTGGGACCCCTCCTGGCCTCCGCGGGGCCCTGAGCTTTATGAGGGACGCCTTCCACCGCAGCCACCTGTCCGGAGATGCGGCACGTGGCCCCTGCACCCCTGCCCCACCCCCCACAGCCCACCTGCTGCCCGCGGGCCCCCAGCCCCAAACCCCGACCCTTTGGACCCAAAGGCCCAGGAGGCCGCGCCGGGATCCCTGCTGCCCACCTCACCGCCTGGTACACGCCCCAGCAGTTCACGGGTACCACCTCGTTTGGCGCCGTGTCCTTGATGAAGACTTGCAGCCTTGCCAGGGATGGGAGCAGCTTCCGGCTGCCCAGCGGCGTCTGCGGGCTCTCCTGACTGCGCAGCCGCAGCACGCTCTCCCGAAGGGCGGCCATCTCCTGTGTGCGCTGTGGGATGGGGATGCCCGTGTCACCCAGGAGCCAGACCTCTGGGCAGGGGATGGCAAACGGGGTTTATCTCCCACCGGGAGCCTGGAAGTCATTTATCTTCAGGGAAACTATGCCCATCGCCAGACACTTGGACAGATGGACACTGGCGCCTGCAGCAGGGCAGGCGGGGAGGTGGCAGGGCCGGGGGAGTGGGTGGGAGCTGGGCGGTGCCGGCCGGGCAGGGCCTCTTCTCACCAGCCGGGCCTCAGTGTTGAACCTGAGGTTCTGGATGGTCTTGCTGGCCTGGACGCAGTTTTCCAGCTTCATTATTTGGTTCTGAAACTAAACACGGCCCCAGTTAAGCCACAGACAGGGCCAGTCTGCTGGCATCCTGCTGTACCCACGGGTGCCCCCATATCCGCTTACAGCTTGGGCAGGGGCCACCCGCTGAGACGCTGGTCCTCGCCCCCCACCCCCACAGGGCCTGGGACAAGCTCCGCTGAGGAAGGGGCAGCCTGAGAGTGGCCCTGCGGGGGCCTGGCCAGGGCTCAGGGTTGCTTCAGCCCTCGTGGCTGCACACGGACGCCCCAGTGTGGGGGCTCCAGGCAAAGTGCCTCCGCTTAGAACTTCCAGAGGCTGAGACAAGCTGGGGTGGCCCAAGGCAACTGGGTTTGTTTTTTGTTTTTGAGAGAGTTTCCCTCTCGTCACCCAGGCTGGAGTGCAATGGTGCGATCTCGGCTCACCGCAACCTCCACCTTCTGGGTTCGAGCGATTCTCCTGCCTCAGTCTCCCAAGTAGCTGGGACTACAGGCGCCGCCACCACGCCCGGCTAGTTTTTGTGTTTTTAGTAGAGACGGGGTTTCTCTGTGTTGGTCAGGCTGGTCTCAAACTCCCGACCTCAGGTGATCCGCCCGCCTTGGCCTCCCGAAGCGCTGGGGTTATGGGTATAAGCCACCGACCGCGCCTGGCCTCTCACAGGTGGTTTTCTGAGCGTCTCCTGCCGGCTGGAAAACGCCCCCTTGGCCGGGGGTCCTGCCTCTCTGCACGGCTGCCCCGTCTGAACCCAACGGCTCCCCCTCTCTCCCAGCTGGGTGCGGGCAGACCCAGGACTACCGTGGCCAGCTTGCCCTGCATCTCTGCGATCTTCCGCCCAGGGCTGTCTTCCTTCAGCAGCTGCACGGACGACAGCAGCGTGGCCAGCTCCTGCCGCAGGGCCCCAACCTCGAACTCCCTGCGGGCACCAGAGGCTGGGGCTGGCTGTGGGGTGTGCTCGGGGGTAGGGCCAGGACCGGGGACACAGGCTACTCCCACAGCCACCACAGGGTTAAGGAGGCTCGAGGGGGCTCAGCTCTGTCACCCCTCCAGGAGGGAAGGTGGTAGAGGGAGAGTTCTCAGAGGCTGCCCCAGGGTGGCAGGGTGAGCTCAGTGCTGGGCCAGGCCCAGGCTCAGGGGGAACGGATCTGTCATGACACCAGGGAGCTTGTGGAGAGCAGCGTGGGGACTGGCCCCGCCCAGTGATGGTCAGCAGAGCCCCTGCCCCTCTCCCAGGGCCCCGGAGGCTATACCTGGCCTTGCCTTCGGCGGAAATCCTGAGGTCCGAATCACTCTTGTGGAGCAGGCACTTGTCCGAGATGCCCTCTATCTGAGCACAGAGCCGGGAGCGGGCGCAGTCTAGGACCAGCCTTGGCCTCGGCGCCCACACAGCGAGAGGGAGGAGGCGAGAGGATGGGCGCGGTGGGGGAGGGTCCCGCGCCAAAGTACACCGAGTCTGGCTGTGCCTTCACCCACCTGCTGGGGGAGGCCATCCACCTTCTCCCGCACCCCCCGCAGGTGCGCGACGACCTCCTTCTGCCACCTGGCCAGGTCCTCCAGAGACTTCCTCTCTGCACCTTCCCATTCGGTCTTTGCCTGGGATACAGATGCCCAGTGAGGGACAGAGCCCAGAGAGGGAGGACAGACGGATGGATGGACAGACATGGGGAGCTCTGGGGGCAGGCGGCCCTCACCCCCACTTCTGACTCTGAGACATTTGTGCACAGGCCTGCAGGCAGCCGGGGTGGCCTGGCCAAGCACGCTCTGGAGACACACATGCCAGGCAGGGCCTGGGCAGCCGAGGGCCCGTGGGGGCTGTTCCAACCACACAGGTGCCCGAGGGAGGCAGGGCAGGCCCCAGTGGGATCCAGCCCCGGGACGCAGGGTGTCGCCCACTGACGCAGCACGCATGCGTCAGGGGATGAGCGGGAACCCGGGAGCGGTGTCCACGCGATGCACATTACGCGGTGGTGGGAGGGCGAAGCTCTGTGCACGAGGCCCCGAGGAGCGGGAAACGGGATGCCCGCGGGTGTTACCGCCGCAGCGGCCGCGCGGTACATGGTGACGTTTCCTGGAAACGTCCAGAACAGGCACCCCCGAGACAGGCAGGGACCCGGCAGTCGCCAGGGGAAGTGGGGATGGGAATGACGGCGGACGGACAGTGCTGGGGTTCTTTCTGGCGGAGGAATGCTCTGAAACTGTGAATGGACACACGGAACTCACGGAACCGTACGCGTTCGCGGTGAACCGTGTGGGGAGTGAGTCCGTTTCAACAGAGCTGTTACAAAGTGAACAAGAGCAGGAGGGGCGGAGGCCGCCTGTCTGCCCCTCTGTGGCTGCCCGCATGGCTGGGCCGTGGGCCGAGGCTGCTCAGCGGCCGTCCCGCCCCACACGGGAATCTCTGGGACTCGGGGTCTCCTGGGCCCGAGGGACAGTCGCTGGGTGATGGGAGGCTTGGGACTGGCCTGTCCAGCCTCTCCCCTGGGGACAGTGGTGGGCTGAGAGCCGGTGGGGTGGGGACTCCCCATAGCCCTGCCTGCCCTCTGCTGCCTGGCGCACCTCAGACAGCCTGAGGCCCAGCATCTGCTCCTGCAGATCCAGCCGGCTGCTCAGAGCCGGGAGGCGGCCACTCAGCTCCTTTAACTGCCCGGCCAGCTGCGCCACCGATGCCTCCAGAGCCCGGTTTTTCTCTCGGAGCTGAAGGGGGACAGGTGGGTGTGGGGAGGCCTGGGTGAGCGCCCATCCTGTGTGCATGGGGGACCCCGTTGGGGACGTGTTGCGCTACCCCCTCACCAGCACCAGCTCGCCATGCATCTCCTGCCGGGCCAGCTCGCGGGCCAGCTGTGCGGCCTCCAGGTTCTCCTGCACATAGGCAGCCAGCTCCCCGGCCCGGCTCTCCTCCAGGCGCCCCTTGGCATCCCTAGGGGTTGGGGGACACATAGATGCCCTCAGCAGAGCCTGCCCACCCCTCAGCCCTGGGCTAGGGAGGGAAGCTTGGCTGCAGGCTCCGGAACCTCCCAGGAGACCCTGGGATCGGAAGATGGGGTGCGGTCACAGTGCCACCACGACAGGGGTTCACTCCCCATGGCCACAGCCGAATGCCCCAGGGAGAGCAGGCTAGGTGAGGGATGGGAGGCCCCACGGGAGCACGGGAGGGAGGAGGAGCCGCACTGTCCGGCTGCAGCCCTCGGGGTCAAGCACTCTGCTGGGGGGAGGCAAGGTCATTCCCTGCTGAGTCGGCCACCGCGGCCCCCTCCTGAGTGGGACTTGGGGGTCTCCCCACCTGACAGCACCTGAGGCCCCAGGACACCCACCAGGCCTTCGCCTCAGCCAGCAGGACGCGGTTCAGCGATGCCTGGTTCTGCTGCACGAACTTGGTCAGCTGGGCCACGGCTGCATCCAGGCCCTGGCACTGCTCCAGGAGGTGGCTCTCCTGCCAAGGGGTGGAGGCCGCCCTGAGACCCACACCCCAGCCCCGGCCCCACCTGTCCGCCGCCCGGCCGGCCCCACCTCATGCTGCCCCTGCAGGGCCCGCAGGCGCTCCTCCATCAGCCCCCGAAGCTTCTCCCACCGGCTCTCCAGCTCGCCCCGCAGGCTGCCCTCCAGCCTCAGCCGCGAGCTCTCCGAGGCCTTCATTCTCTGTGGCGAGACCCCACGGTCAGCCGCAGGTCTGCGTCTGGAAAGTGGGGCGGGGCAGGCCGGCCGCGGGCAGGCTCCCACCTTCTCCAGGGCCAGGAAGCTCTTCTGCAGGAAGCCACACAGCTTGGCCTCCCTCTTCAGGAAGCGTAGGCTCACCTCTTCGCCGAGCTTGGTCACCTGGGCCTGGGGCGGAGGCACATTGTCCCGTGTGCAGCCTCTGCTGGACACGCAGCCCGTCCCCCTCCTGCCTGTGGTCTCCATCAGAGTTGGGGTCCCCTGCTGTCCCCGAGCCCAGCAGAGCCAGGCCCACCACACCCTCAGCCAGGAGAAAGCCAGGGCGGGCAGCACCACTCTGTACCCAGACGACCGACCAGGCTTGGGTTCGTGAAGCACTGGAAGGCCACGCTCACGTGGGGACCACACACACTTGGCACCCACCACCGATGCCGCCCAGGGAAGGCCCCCCAGCCACCACCAGGCCCCGACAGGGAAGCAGGGATGTCACACGGGTGTCCCCATGCACGGGGAGCCAGGCAAGCTGGGCAGAGCCTCGGGGCCTTGTCTCCACCCCAACAGCTGCTTTCCTGCTGCACTGAGGGTCTGAAGGTGAGGGGAGAGGGGAGGTGCAGCCGACCCAGTCCCTGCGTCTCATACACCCAAAGGGCAGGCAGGCGGCACAGGCCTTCGTCAGCCACGGAGAGGCGCCTCCCGGGAAGCTTCCTCTCTGGTCGAGCCCCTGCTGGCCTCCTGCCCCCCGGAAGCCACCTTAGAGTAGATATTTTTCTGTAAAAAGCCAGATGGTACAAGTTCCACCCTCGTGGGATCTCTGTTGTAACCCTCTCAGCACGGCGGTTACAGCCCCCACAGGAGACACTGACAACATGTAAAAAATGTTCCTGTGTGCCAATAAAACTTTATTTACAAAAACAAGCAGTGGCTGGCACAATGACTCACACCTGTAATCCCAGCACTTTGGGAGGCCTACGTGGGTGGATCACCTGAGGTCAGGAGTTCAACACCAGCCTGGCCAACATGGTGAAACCCTGTATCTACTAAAACTACAAAAATTAACCAGACATGGATAGCTGTCTGTAATCCCAGCTACTCTGGAGGCTGAGGCAGGAGAATCACTTGAACCTGGGAGATGGAGGTTGCAGTGAGCTGAGATCAGGCCACTGTACTCCAACCTGGGCGACAGAGCGAGACTGTCCGGGAAAAAAATAAATTAAAAAAAAGGCCAGGCGCGGTGGCTCACGTCTGAAATCCCAACACTTTGGGAGGCTGAGGCAAGCAGATCATGAGGTCAGGAGATCGAGACCATCCTGGCTAACATGGGGAAACCCTGTCTCTACTAAAAATATAAAAAAATTAGCCGGGCATGGTGGTGGGCACCTGTAGTCCCAGCTACTCGGGAGGCTGAGGCAGGAGAATGGCATGAACCCAGGAGGTGGAGCTTACAGTAAGCTGAGACAGCGCCACTGCACTCCAGCCTGGGCGGCAGAGCGAGACTCCGTCTCGAAAAAGAAAAGAAAAGAAAACTTTTTGGGAGGCTGAGGCAGGAGGATCACTTGAGCCTAGGAGTTTGAGACCATCCTGGGCAACACAGTGAGACCTGGTCTCTACAAAACATCAAAAAATTAGCCAGGCGGGCCAGGCGCCGTGGTTCACGCCTGTAATCCCAGCACTTTGGGAGGCCGAGGCGGGCAGATCACAAAGTCAGGAGCTCGAGACCATCCTGGCTAACACGGTGAAAACCCGTCTCTACTAAAAATACAAAAAATTAACCAGGTGTGGTGTCAGGCACCTGTAGTCCCAGCTACTTGGGAGGCTGAGGCAGGAGAATGGCGTGATCCTGGGAGGCGGAGCTTGCAGTGAGCCGAGATCGCGCCACTGCGCTCCAGCCTAGGCGAGAGAGCGAGACTCTGTCTCAAAAGAAAAAAAAAAAAATTAGCTGGGTATGGTGGCATGCACCCGCAGTCCTAGCAACTTGGAAGGCTGAGGCAGGAGGGTCACTTGAACCTGGGGGGCTGAGGCTGCAGTGAGCTGTGATCGTAGCACTGCACTCCAGCCTGAGCAACCAGGCAATACCCCGTCTCAAAACCAGAAACGAGGGTTGGCCTGACTCTGGCCCTCTGCCTCTGGCCCTAGAGAACACTCAGACACCCAGGCTCAGGGAAAGGCAGACGCCCTCGTGAGCGGCAGCTCCCCCACACCTGGCACCTTGGGAATCCTCAGCCCAGCACCTCTGCCTGCCCCACACACCCACTCAATAACTTCCCAAAGGGCAGTGAGAGGGAGGCTGCCAGCTCCAGGTAGCAGAGCTATGTGGGCGACTGCTGGGGCGTCCCGGCAGTCCTGGCCCCGCACCCAGCGTACTGCCTGATGCGCACGGGAGCTGGCTGCAGTCCCCGGTCTCTATTTGTGGAGCTCAGACCTGAGTTGCTGAAATGTGCGGCTGCCCGGTCCCCTCCCCACCCGTAGCGGAGGCCCCTGCTGAGGCCACAGCGGGAGGAGGAGCCGCTCCGGCCCCATGGTTGGGACCCCGGGTTCTAGGAACTCGTGTCAAGGAAGGCGAACTCCGCTTTGTGTGCAGGGAAAGGTGGAGCCTGAAAGTGGCCGTGGAAGGGGCTTCAGGGCTGCGGGCGATCTGTTGATCCAGGCGGGCGCCGGCTGTGTGGGGAGGGGTGGAGGCGGCAGGACACAAGCAGCTTCCTGGGATGAAGGACAGCCAGATGCGCAGCTGCCGGCCCCACGTGGCGACTCAGCTTTTTATTTTTTGAGATGGGGTCTTGCTGTGTTGCCCAGGCTGGTCTTGACTTCCCAGGCACAAGTGACCCTCCTGCCTCGGCCTGCCAAAGTGCTGGGATTACAGGCGTGTGCCACTGCACATGGCCTGAGCTTTTGTTTTTTTGTTTTGTTTTGTTTTTTGAAATGGAGTCTCGCTCTGTCACCAGGCTGGAATGCAGTGGTGTGATCTCAGCTTACTGCAACCTCCTCCTCCTGGGTTCAAGCGATCCTCCTGCCTCAGCCTTCCCGAGTAGCTGGGACTACAGGCGCCCGCCAGCACGCCCGGCTAATTTTTTGTATTTTTAGTAGAGATGGTGTTTTGCCGCGTTGGCCAGGCTGGTCCTTGAACTCTTGACCTTGTGATCTGCCTGTCTTGGCCTCCCAAAGTGCTGGGATTACAGGCGTGAGCCACTGCGCCCGACTGGCCTGAGCTTTTGAAATGGGGCACGTATGGCTGAGGAACTGAGTTTTAAATCGTCTACAGCTGTAGCTGATTTCAATGGACACGGCCGTGATGGTTGGGGTGTCCTCCTCGGCCCTCTGGGCGGCCCCCACCGAAGGCTGGGCCTGGTGGTACCTGCATCCTGGCCACCTCCAGGTCCACCCTCCGGCTGCTGTCCTCCTGGTTCTTCTGCAGGGCGCCGCAGGCCACCTCCCGGCCCTGCTCCTCCTGCTGCAGCAAGTCGGTCAGCTTGGCCAGCCTAGAGAAACCGGCTGCAGTCACACCAGCCCAGCTGGCCGGAGGACCCAGCAGGGTGAGGCTGACCCACAGGCTGGCCAGGCAGGAGGTGTACGACCCCCACCCCCTGCCCCCAGGAAAACAGAGGAACGAGAAACACAGCACTGGTGGTGGGGAAGGGCTGCTGTGAGTCTCTTCCTCACGGAGGGTCCGCAGCGGGCCCAGGCTCCCAGCACACTCGGCACTGAGGGTGGGTGCCCCGCTGGGTCACAAGGACACACAGCAGGGAGACCCGTGTCTTGGCTCGGCCAGGGACTCTCAAACGACCCCAGGCAAGCTCCAGAGCAGCCGCGGGCGGTGGGCGCCCACCTGAGGCCGGCCTCCTGCTCGGCGCCCCTTCTCTCTGCCTCCTGCTGCGCCTGCCTCCTCCTGAGCTGAGTCAAGGCTTCCCGGACCTCCACCAGCCTGGGACACAACAAGCCACTCCCGAGAGGCCCAGGGGCTGAGCAGCCTCTGGGGGCTGTGGGTCTGGCCAAGGGGCCCCTGCGGCCACCTCCCACGGCTTTCCTGGGCCTCTGAGGGCCGCCCAGGCACGTACAAACCCGGCCCTTCCTAGCTGGACCTGGATGTGTATCCCTTACTCCAGCGACACCCGCGGGAGATGTGGATGCCCCAACGCACCTGCCACTGCTTTCCCCCCGCCGCCCCCCCGCCCCGGGCCTGTCCCCTGCGTGTGTGGGAGGTACCTTTTGTCCAGGGCCTGCATCTGGTTCTGGAGACCAGAGAACTGCGAGGAGGAAGAGGAGGCTGTGGGCTGGACCTAGGCCCGGGTCTGGCACCTGCCCCTGGAGTCCACCCAGCTCTGGCACCACTGGCCCCTGGGAGCTCTGGGCCTGGACAGCAGGGGTGAGCTGGGCTCCAGGCCCAGAAGCAGCTGCCCCCAACACCCAGGAAAGGGGCAGCTCGACCTGCGGGTGAGGGAGCCGCTCACCTCCGGCGCCTCCTTCTCAGGGGCCTGGGCTGCCGGCCGCACCTCCTGCTGCAGCTGCCTCAGCTCTGAGCCCTGTAGCTGCACGCGGGCCCGCACCTGGAGCAGCTCCCGCAGCAGGCTCCGTGTGGTGCGCTCACAGCGCTGCTTGTGCTCCCGCAGGCACGCCACCTCGGCCTGCAGCTCCACCACCCTGGCCAGGGCGAGAGTGGGCGAGTCTGGCGGTGACCGCCGTGGAGACAGAGGCTGAGGCGGCGGTGGTGTGGTCCTCCCGCCCCAGCGTCCCCCGCAGGGCTCACCACTGCTCCAGCTGGTTCCAGCGTTTGGCGGTGTCCTGCTCAGGGACAGAGGCCGTGGATGGCGGGTGGCTGGACTCACACCTCTCCGAGAGCTCCTCCAGGCTCAAGGTCTCGGGGCTGGTCAGGTCTCCTGCCAGGAGGAGCCCCAGGTCTTCCAGGGTGATGGCGCTCAGCTGGGAAGGGCCCGACACCCCTGAGGGGCCAATGTTGGCCGGCTCTGCAAGGAGGCGTCTTGGGAGTTCGCCCCTTGGGGTCCAGCTCCCACTGGAGCTTACGGGAACGGGGCCCCAAACCCCTGCAGGACCCTTGCCCACCACCCAGAGCTCAACACGTCTCCCTGAGTCACACAGGATCCAGAGGGGCTTGGCTCAGACAAGTCCAGGGCCCTGCCTGAAGACACACAGCACTGGGCGGCAGAAACACGCAGCACCCCACCTGGCCAGCTTGTGGGAGCCCGGGGTCAGAAGCAGAGCGGTCCCCACCCTCACACCTGTGGCAGGCCCCTCCCCGGGCCGGCTCCTCCACTCCGCCCTCAGCTCCGGCTCACCTGACATGGCTGCTGGGCTGCACCGGCCACTCTGCCCGCGGCTGTGGCCTGGGCCTGGGGCCTCTGAGGTTGCCCAGAGCTGGGCACAGGCTGGGGGGGTCAGGGGCCAGAGGAAGTCCCGTGAGAGCTCTGGGCCTTGAGGGATGAGCTGCTGCCGTCGTCTGGCTGCCTTCCCGGGGACCGTGGTTCCCAGAGGGTCAGATAATACATTGGCACCAAAAAGGACGGTGCTGTACCACAGCTCTCCTCAGGGGAGCCCCTAAAAGACAGCACTAAAGGAAAATTCTGCCAGTGAGTGGAGTTGAGAATAGTGTATTTATTTATTCATTCACTCTGGATGGAGGGATAAATGGGCTGAGATTTCACTTTCAGTGTTGAGTGCTTTGTCTGGTTAATCAGGGCCCTGGGGCCGGGTGCGGGGGATCACTTCAGGTCAGGAGGGCAGAACCAGCCTGGCCAACTTGGTGAAACCCGTCTCTACTAAAAAAATACAAAACTAGCCGGGCGTGGTGGCTCACGCCTGTAGTCCCAGCTACTCAGGAGGCCTGAGGCAGTAGGATCGCTTGAACCCGGAGGCAGAGGTTGCAGTGAGCTGAGATTGCCCCACTGCACTCCAGCCTGGGTGACAGAGTGAGACCCTGTCTCAAAAAAAAAAAAAAAATTAGCTGAGTTGGCCGGACATGGTGGCTCATGCCTGTAATCCCAGGACTTTGGGAGGCCAAGGTGGGCGGATCACCTGAGGTCAGAAGTTTGAAATTAGCCTGGCCAACATGGCAAAATTTTGCCTCTACTAAAAATATAAAAATTAGCTGGGCATGGTGGCGAGTGCCTGTAATCCCAGCTACTCCAGAGGCTGAGGCTGGAGAATCTCTTGAGCCCAGGAGGCAGAGATTGCAGTGAGCCGAGATCGTACCACTGCTCTACAGCCTGGGCGACAAGTGTGAAACTTCGTTTCAAAATAAATAAATAAATAAATAAAATAAAATTAGCTGAGTGTGGTGGCCTGAGCAGGTGGTCCTAGCTACTCAGGAGGATTGCTTGAGCCCAGGAGGTTGAGGCTGCAGTGAGCCCTGTTTTTACCACTGCACTCTAGCCTAGGTGACAGAGAGAGTTTGTCTTTAAAAAAAAAAAAAAAGTCATCGTAGTATCCCACACAATGTTGCTCAGAACAGGGACTCTTTTTATGGCAACGAAAGTACAACAGAGAGCATGGCCATAAAATCCACTGGTCTTTTCACATTCCCCATCATATAAAGCTATTGCTAACAGAATTGGAGTGGCCTATTAAAGGTTTACCATAGCCATCAGGTTGGAGATCATCCCCTGTGGGTTTCTGGTACTGTCCTCCATGATATATTTATGTGCTGAACTAATGCTGATATGTATTCAAAATGGTTAGAATACACGAGTCTGGGAATAAATGGTAAAAGTAGGATTTGCTATATTCACTTGGGAAACAGAAAGCTTAAATTTAAAGCTATAACTTCCATCTTGGTCTCTTTGGACTTCTTTTTTTTTTTCCATTTATTTATTTATTTAGAGATGGAGTCTCGCTCTGTTGCCCAGGCTAGAGTGCAATGGCACTATCTTGGCTCACTGCAGCGTCCGCTTCCCAGGTTCAAGTGATTCTCCTGCCTACTTTAGCCTCCTGAGTGGCTGGGATTACAGGCACCCACCACCATGCCCGGCTAAATTTTTGTATTTTTAGTAGAGACAGGGTTTCATCAGGTTTTGGCCAGGCTGGTCTTGAACTTCTGACCTCAGTTGACCCGCCTGCCTTGGCCTCCCAAAGTGCTGGGATTACAAGTGTGACCCACCGGGCCTGTCTGCAACAACTGTCTTGGGCAATTGGACAGAAAATGAATAGACTCCCTTAGGTCAATTAGATGTGTCAAAGGTGACAGAGTCCTATAGTTATAGAACAAGATGACCTGAGATGGGGCTGTGGGAGTGGAAGATGCTTGCTCCAATACTGGGAATACGAAGTAAAGCAACTTGGTCCGATCTGAGCTGTACCAAATAAGAATAAGCCTGGGGTTTCACACTGATGGCAAAAATTGCCAGATCAGTCATTCAGATGTATTTGAGTAGGCTAGTAGTTCTTTTTGTAATCTCCTCTGTACTATTATTAAATGAGATCCATAGATAATACAGTCAAACTAACTACACACACACACACATACACACACACACATATATATATACATTTTTTTTTTTTTGAGACGGAGTCTCGCTCTGTCGCCCAGGCTGGAGTGCAGTGGCGCGATCTCCACTCACTGCAAGCTCTGCTGCCTCCCGGGTTCACACCATTCTCCTGCCTCAGCCTCCCTAGAAGCTGGGACTACAGGCACCCGCCACCACGCCCGGCTAATTTTTTTGTATTTTTAGTAGAGACAGGGTTTCACCGTGTTTGCCAGGATGGTCTCGATCTCCTGACCTCGTGATCCTCCCGCCTCGGCCTCCCAAAGTGCTGGGATTACAGGCTTGAGCCACGGCGCCCGGCCTGGTGTGACATTTTTTCAGGGCATAGCTCCAGGAAAGTGCTATTAACGGAAGAGAATTACTTATCACAGTGCTCAAAGTCAGTCCTATCTCTATTTCACATGTGCAGGACCCTGGAGTCCAGAATGGAATGTTCTGGGTCCAGCTCTGTTGCAAAGAAAGCTACATGCTATTAGATCATCCCAAGATTGACGAGCAACAAGAACAAAGGCCCACAGTAATAGAAGTCTTTAACAAAAACACACTCTATGTAGCTGGCACAAAACATGTTCCAAATTTTGGCTGGCTGTTTGAAGGACATCTTCAGGACCTTAGCATAGTGCCTGGCACATAAAAGCCCCTGAACAAGTATGAGCTGAATGGATGAATGAACAGCAGCCATCGAAAACGGTGCCTGAGAGAAAACAATGAAATAGCAAAATTCTAGCGCGTGTTATACCAGAACCAGATCTGCCACTCTTAGTTTTCAGTTTGAAGAACTGTCAAGCCCCCTGACTCAAAAGCAAGCACTCAGACCACACATCCAAAACAAAACAACACAAAAGAAACATATGCACGTGGTTACAAAGAAGTGCATAAGGACTTTCAGATGAAAAGGAATAGCTTCTTGACTGTTTTCTTCTCCCTCTGATCCTCAGTTCTGTTGCCCAAGACAAAAAAATTTGTGATAGGCCAGGCGTGGTGGCTTATGTTTGTAATCCCAGCATTTTGGGAGGCCGAGGCGGGTGGATCATAAGGTCAGGAGTTCGAGACCAGCCTGACCAACACAGTGAAACCCCACCTCTACTAAAAATACAAAAATTAGCTGGGCGTGGTGGCATATGCCTGTAATCTCAGCTACCTGGGAGGCCGAGGCAGGGGAATTGCTTGAACCTGGGAGGCGGAGATTGTAGTGAGCCAAGATCGTGCCACTTCACTCCAGCCTGGGCAACACCTAGACTCCATCTCAAAACAAAAAATAAAAAACAAAAAAAAATCTGTGGCATTACATTCATTTCCACCATTATCCATTGTTTTGTTTTGTTTTCTCCATTTAATCACTGATATGATTGAGAAAGACTCACACTTTGAGGCCAGGCACAGTGGCTCACGCCTGTAATCCCAGCACTTTGGGAGGTTGAGGCGGGCTGATCACTTGAGGTCAAGAGTTCGAGACCAGCCTGGCCAACATGGCAAAGTCCCGTCTCTACTAAAAATACAAAAATTAGTTGGGCGTGGTGGCAGGCACCTGTAATCCCAGCTATTCAGGAGGCTGAGGTGAGAGAATCACTTGAACCCAGGAGGCAGAGCTTGCAGTGAGCCCACAGCAAGCCGCTGCACTTCAGCCTGGGCGACAGTGTGAGACACTATCTCAAAACAAAACAAAACAAAACAAAAACCAAAACCTCTTCTTGTGAACAAAATGTAGGAAAAGAAGAAAAAGTAATTGTGGTTTCTGGTTTAGCGACTGCAATTGTGTTTCCCCCCCCAAGAAAATTCTATAATAGAGTTGTTTTTCGTCTAAAAAAGAAACCTGAACAAAATCAATTAAGCATTATTATTATTTTTGAGATGGAGTTTCGCTCTCGTTGCCCAGGCTGGAGTGTAATGGCGTGATCTCGGCTCACTGCAACCTCCACCTCCTGAGGGGGGTTCAAGCAATTCTCCTGCCTCAGCCTCCCCAGCAGCTGGGATTACAGGCGTGAGCCACTGTGTCCAGCCTAATTAAGCACTATTATACAAAAATGAGTTCTGGCCTCAGTAGTGTGGAAGTAGGGAGAAACTAGAGAGATAGATGAACTACTGAGGCCTGGTACCTCTGAGCAAGTTTCAAGGACCTATGTAAAGTTCCCTCTGCAAAACTCTCATCCTGTTAAAACTTGTGAATCCCGAAAATCTGAGGGAGGTCTCAGTTAATTTAAAAAGTTTATTTTGCCAAGGTTGAGGATGCGTGCCCTGAGGACATCCTGAGGACATCCTGAGGACATGTGCCCAAGGTGGTCAGAGCACAGTTTGGTTTTCTACATTTTAGGGAGACATGAGACATCAATCAACATATATAAGATCAACATGGGTTTGGTCTGGAAATGGGGGCTTCCCGGGTCATGGGTAGATAGGAGACAAACAGTTGCATTCTTTTGAGCTTGCTTTCTTTCCTTCCTCCCTCCCTCTCTCTCTCTCTTTTTATTTTTATTTATTTATTTTTTTGAGGCAGAGTCTCATCCTGTTGCCCAGGCTGGAGTGCAGTGGCGTGATCTTGGCTCACTGTAAGCTCCGCCTCCCGGGTTCACGCCATTCTCCTGCCTCAGCCTCCCGAGTAGCTGGGTCTACAGGTGCCCGCCACCACCCCTGGCTAATGTTTTGTATTTTTAGTAGAGACAGGGTTTCACCGTGTTAGCCAGGATGGTCTCGATCTCCTGACCTCGTGATCCACCTGCGTCGGCCTCCTGAAGTGCTGGGATTACAGGCGTGAGCCACCACGCCCAGCATGCCCTTCCTTCTTTTCCCTTTTCCCTTCCCTTCCTTCATACGGAGTTTCCCTCTTTCACCCAGGCTGGAGTGAAGTGGCCCGATTTCAGCTCACTGCAACCTCTGCCCCTGGTTCAAGCGATTCTCCTGCCTCAGCCTCCCAAGCAGCTGGAATTACAGGTGCCCACCACCACGCCCGGCTAATTTTTATATTTTTAGTAGAGACAGGGTTTCTCCATATTTGCCAGGCTGGTCTTGAACTCCTGACGTCAGGTGATCCACCCGCCTCGGCCTCCCAAAGTGTTAGGATTACAGGCATGAGCCACCACGCCCGGCCTGGATTTTCTTTATTATTATTTATTATTATTTTTAATTTTATTATTATTTTATTTATTTTTTTTTTTTTGAGACGGAGTCTTGCTCTGTGCCCCAGGCTGGAGTGCAGTGGCGCGATCTCGGCTCACTGCAAGCTCCGCCCCCCGGGTTCACGCCATTCTCCTGCCTCAGCCTCCCGAGTAGCTGGGACTACAGGCGCCCGCCACC